TCGCAGCCCTACCTGTCGTTCACGTCCACCACGGCCCCTCTCCCGGTACCAGTGCAGCAGCATGAGGTAAAACTAAATGTGCGCTTTGGTCCCCGAGTCGAAATTTTCCTCTGATAAGCGCTTGGGACGTCCCGCGCTGTTCACTGACAGGCGTTTCAGATACACAGATTCCTCTTTGCCTTTTCTTGGCCACAAGACCACTACTTCAGCAAAGCATTCTAAGACCATCACTTCTAGCAAAGACTGAAGGACACAGGTATAAAATCTATTCCTAGTACATCAGCATGACTGTTCTGTAGTTCAAACATCATTGAATTTTATCTTTTATCTCTTTAATATAGCCAAGCACTGGGAAACAGTATGAGGCTCTAGTCCTGCAAGGAAGTTTTGCCTAGTGGTTAGACACCCCAAAAGAAGGTTCAAAGCTTGAATTTTAAAAGGTGAGAACATACTTAAATTGGCCCTTATGGTTTTCTTTGGGATTGTCCTGAAATCCATGCATTAAACTACATTGATGTCACTTCCCATTGCATAACCTCCAGTATAAGCTCACTTGTAATTTAATAGCTGTGTCAATAGTATTAAGTGCACAGTCACATTATTTGGTATGGTAATAGAAGAGTTTACATAAACACTTCTATTTTGTACACTTGATAACCCGTAGTATCTTTCATGCTGCCTAGACTTATCTCTTCACTAAAAAAGAAGTATCTTCATAGAATATCATTATAAAAGTAAAATATATGCTTTAAATATTTTTTTGAACTTAGCTAAAATCCATGCAGTCCAAGGAATCTAACAAGAGTCTGAAGTCCAGGAAAATAAACCTCACTTCAGTACTACAAGTTGCACTAAAGTGTTCCTTCCAACTATGGCTAATTCTTTCTGCTATCAGTGGTTTGAGAAAAATGTTCTTAAAATTTTAAGATACAACAGCATTCTCCAAGTTTGAACTGCGTAAATTCACAAATCTAGTGTAAAAATTTTACAAGACAATTGAATTTATTCCTTCCAATCCTCTGACAAACAGGAAGTTAGCGATTTATACTTACAAACCGTTAATATGCAATACACCTCCTCATTTTTTAGGCCACAGATTTAATCAGGTACATCTATGAGGGGAACCGACAGCTGTGTCTACCTCAGCAAATGTCTCAGTAGTATATACTTGTCTACTGCCACCTCAAGTGGAAAGTTTATTCCTCAAGCAAAATCAGGGATTAAATTTATCTTGCATCAGATCTAACAAGTGCCCAGCCACACTGTGAGCTGGTTCATTCAGGCGATGCAAATGAAGTCTACTCATTTCTCTGAATGGGTTAACCTTTCATCAGATCAGCAATGGCACCATGGTATCCAGTCCATCCACCCCAGATGAAGCAAAATGTCAACCATCACCCAAAGGTGCAGTTAAATAGCAGAATAAAACAGTATAAATTAGCTGCAAGGAAAGCTGTCAGCTTTCCTGAACAGCTTTACTGTTCTTTTTTTCTTTTCTTTACTGTACTGTTGAACTGATTTACTAGGCAACCATATTAGCACTGTGGTAAGAGAGCAGGTC